TATTCTCCTAGAATGGAGCCCGAGCGTTATGTGGCTCCAACAATCCACTTGCTCATTGCTAACACTAAGTAGCTTTGATAAGAAATTCATGGAAAAGTCATGAGTTCTAATGCACACATATCAGTATGTGCATATCAATATTCATTCATCCCAAAAGAACCAGTAGAGCTGTCCCATTGGGGTTTCATAAGCCGTGATCTTTCTCCCATGGAGTGGCTGGTGGGTTCAAACCACCAACCTTTCAGTTAGTAGTCAAGTTGTTTAACCATGTACTGAATCCCCAAAGGTGTTGCCCAAACCTAAATTGTCTCTAATCAGAAATAGAAAAAAAGAGAAGAAATATTATCAGAAATCCCTCTGGTAAGAACATTTGTTGTTGTTGTTGTTAAGTGCCGTCGAGTCGGTTCCGACCCATAGCGACCCTGTACAGGGTTTCCGAGGGTGTAAATCCTTACGGGAGTAGAAAGCCTTATCTTTCTCCCGCGGAGCGGCTGGTAGTTTCGAACCGCTGACCTTTAGGTTCGCAGCCCAATTCGTAACCACTACGTCAGAACATAATTTCCTATAATCGGGATACCCAACATCACTTTCTGTTTTGTTTTTTTTTTAAAGGTTTTTATTGTGGATTGAATGGAAGTTTACAGGGCACATCATCAGTTTTACATTCAACAAATCATACACCTTGTTTCATTATAATGATTATAATCCCTTCCATGTACCATCAGTTAACAGTATTTCTCTCTACCCACTTAAGCTTTTTAAAAAAACAAACAAACAAAAAAGCCACTCAGAAATATATAAAAATTTACATCTCCAAAGGGCACATTCTGCAAGTCTGCCTCCTGGCCACCAGCTCCTAGTCCCTCTCTTCTTCATCTACTTTCTATTTTTATACTTGGGATTTTGTTGCCTTTTTTTTTTAAACTATTAAAGCAAAGCAGCAGAACCTCAGCATAACACTATTTCATAGAAGCCAAGTCACGGTGCTTCCAGAACTTCTATTCCAAGTTAAAGAGCCCTGCTTTAGGATTACTAGGTTCATCACACATTATCCCTCCAACTCTGTACTTCTGAAGAAGAGACAAACACCACATTGAAAGCCAGCACTCCACTAAAATGCATTCTGGTGTAGACTAGGAAACGGACCACAACCGGACCAGGAAGCAAGTCTACAGGAAACAATGTCTTCAGAGGAAAGACAGGAGTATCACCTGCGCCACCAGTGGGCCACACAGCCACTCACCTTTGCTGGTCTCAACCTTGGCTGGTATTAAAATGCAGCCACAGTACCTTAGAGGGCGGGGGCTGTCTGTTAATGGCAGAGGAACAGCTGAAAATGGTTGTACAAGAACGGAATCAATTGCAGTTGAACTGGTATATCTTTCGCCATGTATATTCTCAATAACTGCAGAAAATGGGGCTCCTAATGTGGCACTGTAAGGCACTGTAAGATAAGCAGTGGACTGCTAGCCGCAAGGTCAGTGGTGCAAACTCACTAGCTGCTCCTCAGAAGCCCTATACAGGGTCGTCACTTTGAGTTGGAACTTAAAATGAGTTGGCACTTAACAACAAAAATATTATATTCATATGCATACACACACACACAGATTTTCAAAGGCAGCCACAGTCAATAGGCTTGTACTTTCCAAAGTTATGCTTTGGTACTGAGGAAGGGAAAAACAATGTTTTCTTTTGAATATCGGTATCAAACAACTGCATTAGAAACCACTTTATAACTGAGCAACTGAAGGTAAGAGGCATTCCTGAGATCATCTAAAATCAGGGAGAGAACAAATCTGTTATACACTTACCAAAAGAGAAGGGCGAGAAGGGGCAGTGGGAGAGCCAAGTCCTACTAACTACAGGTGAGGGCCTGAGCATCAACTGCAGCGCCCACGGCCCCAAGTCCCAGCTAAAAACTTCAGCTTTGGGAATGATCATTTACTACACTCACTTTACGTTTGCTACACAAACATTTCTCACAGGACATGTGAACCTGTCAGGTGTATGAGTCAGTGACCCCATATTGACCTTATGACCATTGGCTGTCACTGGGCTTGGTTTACACCAAAGTCATCTTCTCAAAAACCAATTATTTAAGGAGCAAAGCCCACAGATGGCATTATAGCCTGTGAAAAGACTGTCACATTTTCTCTGAAAAGCAATGCTTCACCCAAATGATTCTGAAAGCAACTTCTTTATCCTAATTCCTATGTTGTTGTTAAGTAAAACTGAGGCAGTTCCAACTCATACTGACTTTGTATAGGGTTTTGGAAAAGTAGCTGGTGGGTTTGAACCACCCATCTTGCAGTTGGCAGTCCAGTGCTTATCCTACAGTGCCACACCAGGGCTCCCCTAATACCTATGTTGTTGTTGTTAAGTGCCGTCGAGTCGATTCTGACCCATAGTGACTCTGTACAGGGTTTCCGAGGCTATAAATCTTTACGGGAACAGAAAGCCTCATCTTTCTCCCACGAACAGCTGGTAGTTTCGAACTGCTGACCTTAAGGTTCGCAGCCCAATTCGTAACCGCTATACTACCAAAACTTTTTCTAATTCTTATATGGCGAGTTAAATACCAAAACAATAAAATATAGTAAGTGAAGGCCACTTAATGTAAGAGAAAACCAGATTGTAAGATCCAGGTTTCTCTCTAACTGCATAAATGGACTCAAAGATTCCTAAGGTTTGTTACAGTAAAGATGGCCCCATAAAGCCTTTTGTCGATAGGAGAGATGTATGAGCTCCGAGGAAGATGAGGCATTCCAAAGTCTATTTTGGGCTATTTACCTGGCTGATTCCGTCTCTTTGAAGGAAAAAACATCTTAAATGTATCCCTCAGTCTATATGAGGGGAACAAAAGTGCTTAACTACAAAACAGACTGTGGCTTTGTAGTGTTCAACTTGTTTTGCAGGATGTTGCTGTCTTCACAGTTGGCCAGACCAAAGCCCACCACTGAACAGCCAGGTGTCTAAATGCTCCTTGCTCTTGATGAAGAGAGACACTGAAGATCAATGGACACATACGTAGCAATGTTGTTGTTGTTGTTGCTAAGTGCTGTTGAGTCGGTTCCAATTAATAGTGACCCTGCACAAGGTTTCCAAAGAGCGACTGGTGAGGTTGACCGCTACCTCTGCGGTTCAAACCAAATTTGCAGTCCAGTACATATCCTACAATGGCACACCAGGATTCCATATAGCAATGTAATGTCTTGCTATATGTGCATATATACATGATATATATGAAGAGGACACTGAATGATGGTCAATCTTTGTAAAATGACCATAAATTTGTCATATTCCCTGAATTCATATTAAAAGTATTTATTATGTGCCCTATAAACTTTCACTCAATCCACAATTAAAAACCTTATATTTAAAAAAAAGTATTTATTAAAATTTTCAAAGAAAACAAATAAGCACTGAACTGTGAACAAGAAGGATTGCATTTCAAGTCTACCACCCGCTTTATAGGAGACAATGAGTCTTTCTGCTACTGCAAAGATTTGCTGCCTCAGAAACCGTACACAGGGTCATTATGAATTAGAAGCCATGTAACGGGTACTTCACAACAACCCATCAACTGATAATAAAAATTTAGGGTTTCATTTAAAAAAACATTTTTTTTAAAGCAGGAGACCAAATGCTATTGTCATTTTAAGTTTAAACCCTGACTCTAAAATCATTAGGAACTGTTATTATTGTCTAGTATATTTATCTGTCACTCAAAGCAATTCTCTCTGCAGATATATTTCAAAGTATTTTTAATATTAAACTTTTTTTCCATGTTTTCAAAAGATTCTCCTTAGATTTTTAACCCTAATTTGACCAATAAGAAGGGCCACTGAAACACACGAATCCACCTCATTTTCTAGAATCACCCATATCCTCTCTGTTAAAGCAAGGTGATGTCACATCAGTCCAATCACGAAAGCAAAAATCACATGTCTCAAAAACAGTATAACAGGAAACAACAGTTGGACAGAAATCCACTTTATTCTATTCTCTTTCAGAAATGCCTGGTGCATTAGTACCTCTGATGTGCATGGTACAGATGGGGAGCAGAGCTTGGGGTCATGTCCTTTTTCCAGAGGTGAGAGCAGCTGGAATAAAACTCAACATCTGCATCCTTGCCTAGCTGAGTCCAAGACGCAGCAAACTTATTTTTCCTTCTAAAAACTAACCAAATAACAACTCCTTTAGACTCTCTTCACACTGGTTACTCCCCACTCTCACTGATTCTTTGCAATACTGGGATTTCCAGATGAAATCAGTGCAGACTGTGCCTTGTATTATTCAATAACAGTGAAGCAGCAAATGCACATAACTCCTATCTGGTCTCATGCCTTGGAGGGGTTTTCTCAGGAGGATGAAGCAGGGTTCTGGAAGGGGGATGGGCTGGGACACCCACTGAGGCTGAAGTACACACAGATCGACTTTCAGTTAAGAGGTGTTATTTCAATGTCTTGTGGCTTAAATTCTATGCTGAGGCTTATTGCTTTCCAGACATGTACTCTGCACTGTTTCAGCACATTTTCTTGAGTTCTTACCCCATTTGCTTTTCCAAAATTTCAGCCAGTCTCAGTCCCCATGACTTTGTGAAACGAGTGAACCTGATTTTACAGGGTTTCACCTATTTAAAAGCATCATGCTACCCATTTTATAACATGGATCCTAATCCTAGATCCAAAATTGTTTCAAAAAAGCTGCACTCCGAAAGAAAAACTTTTGTGAAAGTGGATGATTACTCATCAGATCATAAAATCCTGATGCCTGCCCATGATCACACAGTCTTTAGACTAGTACTTCCCCCACAGAGGGCACACCCAGAACAGAGTTCAGCCTCCTGTTTAATGAGTCTGTTAGAGAAAAACTAATGTGGAATTCAACCTGGGGAATTCAACCTGTTATATCAGTGTCAATGGCCCCTAGCAAGCAAGCAATTCTTAGTCATATGTGGAGATGACCGGAAAGCATCTTACAGAATGGAAGGGACTTACCTTGTGTAAGGGGAGCACAAGAAATGCTCCCCCCCCACTTGCTTCTATGATTATGGCAACAAATCTGGGATTGACGGCGCAAAAGGAGCTATCCCAGGTCACACGAGAAACCCGGATGTCATCATAACACTGGTCATTTTTCACTGCTTGCCCAAATACATGCCGAAACTTGCTCTGTCGTACCACTCGCCTCATGGTGCCTGCAAGACAAGAGTAGGAATGATGTTAGGACGATCCCAAACTGAACACGTGACTTTCACCAATGGAAAAACAGAATGACGTGGCATGCTGTCTGCTCTTTTAAAAAGTAGCCAAATTGCCAATCTAAATTTCCTTTTGCAGCACATACCCAGAGAAAAAAACTGCAAAATGCGTCAGAGAAAGAATTACAAATAAATGAAAAGTCAAGGAAAAGAACGAAGGAAAATTAGCATTTAGGGTTGGATAGGAATGGAAAAATAATTCACTACAATCCTCTGCTTTTCAAGATAAGAAAACTTGAAAGTTAAGTTACCTTTGTAAGTTGAAGAAAGCCCCTCACAACTTAGGATTTTGTGTTTTTTTCCCTCAGCCTGCCAAGTAATTTTTCCTTTCTTAAGCATTGTCCTCAGACATCAGCATTCTGTATATGCCTGCCCACCCCCTCACCCCCAGTATTTCCACAAGACTAACACATAGTGAGGAACTCAGAAACACGTGCACAACTCATTTTGTCAAGACCCTGCTAATGTCCTTCTAACTTGTCCACTATGTCAAACAGTGGGGTGCTACTAGTTCTTTCCTTTGAGCGCCCTTCCTGATGGCCCTGGAGCCACCACAAACAGACAAAATAATGGAGGCAGCTTGGTACTGTGTGCTACCAAGTCAGAAACGGGAAAAATGCCTCTGAGCTAAGGCAGCTGACTGAAGTCAAGAGCCAGATCTTGGAAAAGAGCAGTAAGTATTTAAACAGAAAGTAATGTGGTGAGAGCAACATTTAGGATGGTAATACATCTGGCCATGGCAAACGGCACGGACTAGACAGGAAGAAGCTCAAATGTGCCTGGCGGCAAAGTTAATAGGCTGGGATGATAAAAGGAAAACTCAGGGACACAACAAACCGGGATGGTCGATCCATCACCCATCTCCCAGTGAAGCAGGAGAGCTGGTGAGAGGAGGTGACAGAGCTGGGCTCCCTGGGGTTTCTCAGGGCTCATTTTAGACTCCAAATTCCATTAGGTTGCCCTTTACATGTACATTGGGAGCTCTGTACTTTAGGATCGCCAGCCCCGCCTGATATGGGGTTCCAGAGTAATTTTTCTATTTCCTAATGCAGGGAGCACAGTGGCTCTGCAAGATAAACACAAACACTGTGGTTCACAAGGTCGCTGGTTCAAGTCCACTAACCACTCCATGGGAGAAAGACAATTCTGCTCCAACAAATTTCAACAGCCTCTCTATGATTTGATGGCACTTGACAACAACAACAAATGCAGGGCATTCCTGCCATACTGGCTGGGATACAGCAGCTAGGAACAAACCTAAGTGGACCTGTAATTGAATGAAACAGTCAAATCCTGACAACTCAGTTGAAAATCAGTCGCCCTGTTCCCTGATGAACACTTGTCCACTTATGCCAGACAGTGGGGTGCTACTAGTTCCTTCCTTCTAGCTCCCTTCCTGATGGGCCTAGAGCCACCACTAAACAGAGGGAAGGCCTTGACTTTTGCCAGCACTGTCTCCTATCCATTCCAAGGCATGTGCAAAAGTGGCCAGTCTCCAGTTCCTGGGGCATGTGGCTGGGCTGAGACAACAGACCCTTGGCAGGCAGCTGAGCATCTGTCTTTTCAGCCCAGCTGTTGCCAGACTAGTCCAGCTGCCTATCAGGGCCATACATTTTGAATACTTGGTAGAGAAGAGGGCAAATGGTCACCTTATACTTGGCCAGTGGCCTAAACTGGCAAATCAGTACAAATATGTCTCAAACACAAATTAGATGAGAGAGCTTCCGTGAATTGGTGGAAAAAAACACCAGGCAAGCACATCCACAGAACGCCAACCTACAGCCAGCTGTCTCAGACCCTACTTCCCTATACAACCATCTGCACAAGTTATAAACACTGGAATCTCACCAGCATCTTCCAACAAGTGTGCCCAGAATAAGTTCACAGAGAAGAAAAAGGATTGCACCGTATGGCAAGAGTTACCACTCTCCACACATGAAAAGTTCATACAAGATCATAACATGGAAACCCCGTAAGAAAATCAAGCAAAGGACAGGAAGCAGAAAGTTATCAAAAAAATACAAATGGCATGTATCTCATTCCTTCCTAAAATGCTAATAAAATTACAGTAAGGAATATACGGAGTCCTGGTGTAGCACTGTGGATTAATGAGCTGGACTGCAGTCTGTTTGAACAGCAAGGTTAGCAGTTCAAGCTCACCAGCTGCTCCTCAGAAACCCTACACAGGGTCGCTATGGGTCGGAACCAACTCAACAGTGTTTAACAACAGCAACAAATGAAAACGCACACAAGCATACACCCAAAAGGACAAGAACCCTGGAAAAGCGTCTAGAGGAGAAGAGACAGGACAACATCATATTGGAGGAAGACACGCTGACATGCACATTTAACTGGAATGTGAGTGTGCTCTACTCGACTGAGGGCTCAGAAGGAAGCAAGTGCTTACAATGAACCCCCAGAACACTCAGGAGAGAAGTGGACATGGGATGCTTCCAGTAGACAGGGTTTAAAGTGGGTCTAAAGAGAAAATGAACTAATGCTTGAATAAGGACTAGCTAAAAACACCTAGCCAGTTGCCATGGAGTTGACCCCAACTCATGGGGATCCATGTGCATCAGAGCTGAACTGTGCTCCATAGGGTTTCCAACGGCTAGTATTTTCAGTAGATCACCAGGCCTTTCTTACAAAGTGCTTTCAGATGGACTGAAACCTCCAACATGTTGGGTAATAGTCAATTGTACTGACTGTGTACACTAACCAAGGAGCAGCTAGACCCTCATCCACTGCCCCTCCAAGTAGCAGTCCCTGCACTAGACAACACCCAGAACAGCTGGAAAAGGGTACAGCACTGATAACCTGATTCTGTGCAGTAGGGCCTCGAGCCCCTTGCTTCCCATGGCTACCAAAACACTTCTGACAGGGACTACCTGCCCACCTCTCACCCTTGGTGGAATCCACCACCCAATATGCCATTCCTACCATCCTAGCACTAGGTTAACCTCATTTTTACTGTGAGTGGAGGTAAAGAAACCAAAGAAACCCATCTATATGAGACCAAAAGGTCAAGAATCGCTCTACAGCAACACTGAGAAGATAAGAGGGCAAGGAAATCAGCACTGGAAATGGAACAACCAACAGGTAACCTCTAAGAGAGAACAGAACTGTTCCATAGGGTTTCCAAGGCTGTAAACCTTTATGGGAGCAAATAGTTTCAAAACACAATAAAATATTACTTAAAAACAATTTTTAAAAATGTGAGTGGATATTTGAGAAAGGCGTCTAACCAGAAAGAGAGAGATGATCTTTCTCTTCACTCAAATAGGTCATACCATCTACCTCCACCACCCAGATGAAGATGAAGATCGATGTATAATCTAGATACGAAGACACTACATAAACCTGGGCGCTGACTTACACACTCAAACTCACTGCCACTGAGTCAATTCTGACTCACAGCAACCATGTATAGGGTTTCCAAGGCTGCAAATCTTTATGGAAGCAGAAAACCTTGCCTTTCTCCCATAGAGCAACTACTGAGTTTGAACTGCTGACTTTGGGGTCAGCAGTGCAGTGCTTCTCTTACAGTGCCACCAGGATTTCCCTGACAAACTGCTGTTATTGTATGCCTTTGAGTCGGTTCAGACTCATAGCACCACTGTAAAGGGTTTCCAAAGAGTGGCTGGAAGGTTTGAACCACCAACTTTTTGGTTATTAGTCTGGTGCTTATCCTTACAGAGCCACACCTTAACACACGACAGTTTATTTTCATACTAACTACATCAGTGTGTCACTGCAAGGTCAGTTTGAATCAAAAGGTCGGCAGTTCAAACTCACCAGTCGCTTCTCAGAAACTCTATACTGGGACACTATGAGTCAGAACAGACACAAGGGCACTTAACAACAACAACATCAACATCAGCTCAAAGGAGACACAGGTCCTTTTGTGACACCCATGATGTGGAAGGTCAGCCACAGAACAGCCAGTGAGCAAAGCAGTGCTAACTGACAGGTCGCTGTGGAGCTCATTCAGAACCAAGGTCAACCTTGATCTGGGCTCAGCTGTCCACATATGGCACAGCCACTTCTCGGGCCCTCCAAGCACACAGTTGTTAAGTATCAACTCATCATGACCCTTTATAGGGTTTCCAAGGCTACAGATCTTTGGAGGAGCAGAAAGCCTTCTCCTGCAGAGTGGTTGGTGGCCTTGAACCATCAGCACTGTGGTTTAAAGTTCAATGCTTAGCCTATGAAAGCCACACACATAGTAGAGAACAGCAATTAAGAGGGCAGGTTCCAGGGTTAGGCAGGCCTGAGAGGGTACATCACAGCTGTACCACTTAGCAGTGGTCACTGTGTCAGCTTCTCCCTCTGAAAATGCTTACAAGTTGCCATGAAACACGCACTTGGTGATGACCAACAACTGCTATGTGGAACACCCAGTAGGTGGTTGTTGTGGAGTGCCATCAAGTCTATGCCAACTCACAGTGACTGTTTAGGACAGAGTACAACTACGGAAGCAGATCGCCAGGTGGGCTCGAACCATGGACCTTTTGCTTAGCAGCTGAGCACTTTACCATTGCAACCACCAGGACTCCTTGCCTATAGGCTTTTGTTTTATTGTTAAGTGCTGTGGAGTCAGTTCCGACTCATAGTAACCCTATGTAGAGAGGTTCGGAGGAGCAGCTAATGGGTTTAAACCATCAGTCCAGTGCTGATTTTAGAGCCCTGCCCCAGGAGTCCTCCTTATAGGTAAGAACACAATCAATCAGTGTCAGCTTTTGTTATCATCCTAGTAACAGACATAAAGTAATCTGGATGCAAATCCCAACTCTTCAATTTAAGAACAAATGACTCAACTTCTCTGATCCTCACTTTCCTCATCTATAAAAATGAAGAGAATGGGCTAGAAGATGGCTAGAATAACAAAGTTGGTTACTAACTAACAAGTGCTAGTGCGACTTGGAGAAATCAGACATTTCATTCACTGGCAGTGGGAATAAATGGTACAGACACTTGGGAAAACAGTCTGACAGTTCCTCAAACCATTAAACACAGTGTTACTATTTACACCAGCAATATATATATATACTCCACAAGATATATACTCCAGCAAAGTGTAACACAGGTCATCAAACATTCACTTATATACAAATAGGCATAGCACTATACATACTAACCAAAAGGTGGAAACAACCCAACTGATGAATGAATGGGTAAACAAAATGTGGTAGACATATCTATAGAACAGAATACCATTCAACCATTAAAAGAAATAAAGTCCTAATACAGGCTACAACTTAGATAAACTTTGAAAACATGAAAAAGGCAAGAAGGTAGTCACAGACCTAAGGAAAATAAAGTTTGACACAGGGAGCAAGTGTAAATTGCTACAATTTGATGAACTGGACCTTTGCTTATCGATGTAGTTGCTCAAAATTCCAACCAAAAGAGGATACTTCTTCATATCAAGGATCAAACCTGTACCCTCAGTACACAGGGTTGGTAGGGGCAGGTAACTCAGACATTGGCTACCAAAAATGGGGACTCCCTATGAGTCGGAACCGACTCGATGGCACTTAACAAGCTTTCAAGAGTGTGCTTAGTTTCAGAATGAGGGGGGCAAAGTAGAATCCTCACTGAATAGCTTTCCTCTTGTCTAGATGGGTCTGATGAAGGGATGGAGGAGGATAGGGATAGGATTCTTTTGATTTAGTAGTGGTAACTGTTATAATGACTAATGATGATTATCACAACTGCAAATGTAGAAGATGTGAAACAAGAAAGAGGGAGTAGTCAATCTTTCATTCCAGAGTAGTGGACCCTAGCATCGAGAGGGAAGAGCATGAGCAGAGCATGGGATCCCAGAAAAGCAGTGACAACAGATACAGAAAGCAGAGGCAATGTCAGAGAGAAATACAACAGCTGAGGACTCTAGACCCATAGAATGAGAAAAGTTGTATGCCTGCGGGTAGGAGGCTGGCTTGCAAAATGTGCCCTTTGGACATTTAAACGAATATATATATATTTTTGTGTGTTTTGTGTACACCAAAATTTTAAAAAAAGGAATAGAGGTAAATGCTGTTAACCTGATGGTGGATAGAGGGGATTGTAATCATTGCAATGACACAAAATATGATTTGTTGAGTGTAAAACTGATGATCTGCCCTGCAAGCTACCACTCAATTTACAATAAAAGCTTTTAAAAAGAAAAACAGAAGCTAGTCACAGATGTTCACATATTACATAATTCTATAAGGAGCTCTGGTGGCATAGTGGTTACGTGTTGGGTTGCTAAACTCAAGGTCAGCTAGTTCCTAACTACCAGCTGTTCCACGGGAGAAAGATGAGGCTTTCTGCTCCTGTAAAGATTTACAGCCTTGGAAACCCTATGCAGGATCGCCATGAGACTCCACAGCACACCACCACCACCACTCATATGGACGTTCAGAATAGGCAATTACAGAGAGACAGGAAGTAGATGAGTGATTACTCAGGGCTAGGGGAAGGGAGCTAAAGGATATAGGGCTTCCTTTCTGGGGTGATGGATATGTTTTAATATGGACTGTGGTGATAAGAGTGAATATTACAAAACCCACTGATATGCACACTTTAAATGGGTGAATTGTATGGCATGTGATTATATCTCAATAAA